AGCCATAAAGAATGAGAAACTAGAGACATTTATAGCTAAATGGATGCATATTGAGGCCATACTCTTAAGTGAAATAAATAGGACACACATGCATAAATACCAAATAGTTTCTCTAGTGTGAGAAACTGAAAGTGTAAAGGATTAAAATGATTAAAACGAGTAACTGATAATTTGAAATAGGAAGAAATGGTCCATAGGTGTAGTGGAAGTGGGAGGGGAAGGGTAAAAAAGGGAAAGGAAAAGTTTTGAGAAAAGAAAAAAAATGGAAATGATGTCTATGTAAACAGGGATGGGTGGAGGGGGTGAAGGCCACACAGGTAATGGGGAAAAAATAAGAACCAACATACATCACGTATAGGTACAAGTACCCAATGATAAATGTAAACGTATTGTATACCTAAAATGTACCAATAAAAGAATTTAAGGAAAAAAAAATCAACAATGGGATCATATCAAATTAAAAAGCTTCTGGACGGCAAAAGAAATAATTGACAGAATGAAGAGACAAACTAAAGAATGGGGAAAAAATTTTGTGAGATAGTCCTCAGAGGACTAATATCTGGACTATAAAGAGAACTAAAAAAAAAAATCATACCCCAAAACAAAACATCCAATCAAAAATGGGCAACTGAAATGGACAGACAATTCTCAGAAGTACAAATGGTCAATAAATCCATGAAAAAAATGTTCAACATCGTTGGCCATCAGAAAAATGAAATTTAAAACAATGAGATTCCATCTCACTCCAGAAAGAATGGCTAATAATCAATAAATCAAATAACAAATGCTGGTGAGGTTGCAGGGAAAAAGGAACCCTTCTACATTTTGGGGGGAATGTAAACTAGTGCAATCACTATGAAAATCAGTATGGAGATTCATCAAAAACTAAAACCAGAAATTTCATTTGACTCAGCTATTCCCCTTCTAGGTATCTTTCAGAAAGTTTAAGTCATCATATTACGGGGATACATGCATACCCACGTTTATAGCAGCACAATTCAGAACAGCTAAATCTTGGAAGTGGCCTGTATTTCTATCAACAGGTGAATGGATAAAGAAAAAGTGGCATTTATACACAATGGAGTACTATTCTGCCATAAAAAAAGATAAACGTGAAGCATTTGTAGGTAAATGGATGCACCTTGAGAGCATAATGTGAAGGGAAATAAATCAGACCCATAAGCTTAAATACTACGTGGTTTGTCTTACATGAGAAACTAAAAACATAAATAAATCAAAGAGCAAAATAAAAGACAGATAATAGGAAACGGGGAAATAGAACTTTTGCAAAAGCGAGGGAGACCAAGAGATGGAAGGAGGGAAGGAGGAGGGCAGGGGAAAGGGACGAAAAAAGAATTAAGATGTGTTCTGTACATGCATCAATTCCCTATCATGAATGTGGTCATTATGTGCTGCAAACATATACTAATAAAAAGTAAAATAAAAAACTGTCTTGTAATGATGTTTAATTCACTATGATTGAAATTATGAGCAATACTTATCTGAATCATAATTATCACTAATAACCCTCCATTGAACAAGACTGTGAAGAAGGTTTTAGGAAAAGACCAGTTCTAGGAGTAGAGCTGAGATGCAGACATTTATTCATTTATCTTAAACAACAATATAGAGAGTATCTTCCATGGCATCCAGGCTGCAATGTCCTGGGACATGACACACAAAGGTTAATCTATTGACATATATTAAAGGACAACAAGACTTTTTGCCTCTTTAGGAGCACCTCGTTCTGCAGTCCTCAAACTGTAATTCTAGTCCATAATTCAAGATTAGCAAATAGTTCTGCTAATTTCTAGTTTCAAAGAAGGCAGGGATTGATGCAACACATCCACTCTGTTCAGTGGTTCACCTATTTTCAATCCAACCAGTCTAGATGACTACATTTCACTGTGGCTGCACTCAACAACAATTTCTTGTCAATGCAGAATTAAAATACTGGTTGGGATTCTGTAATAAGAAAAACACGAGCAAAAGTCCAGTGGAGCCAGGCTCTTTTTAGGCTTTGTCACTTTCATGAGTTACAGTTCTCTTCTATCTGCCTCTTTTCCTAGCCAATTCCATTTATTCCCTTCACACAGCTGTCACGTCTCTGCCCAGTCCAGGTTCTTCCCATTATACACCCTCCCCAGCAGTCTTCAAAACATCACATTTCTTTCAATGGCTATAAATCCTACTAATCTATACCCTACTGAGGACAGAGGTGATGATCTGTCCAGCTCACCTGTGTAACCCAGGGCCTAGCTCTGTGCTTGATGCAAGGTGGGCAGACAATTACTATGCAATAAATGACTCACCCCAAGGAAGATGCTTTCTTAATCCAAAGAACTGGGATACAACTGATACTATAAGATACTACCATTAGGAGACCGGGGGAGAAGTCACAACCCTTGCTACCTACATTCACATCCATGATAATCACAGAATAAAGATTTGAAGAAAAGCATTATCAAAATACATAATGTCACTGCTGCTCTTTTAAAAGAACTGCAAGTATGTAAGTTACCTCATTTCAGCTTTATTAAGCAATGTCTCCCATCTAGTATCCAAAACACTCAGCTGCTTCAAAATCTTCACTTTATCTGCAGGCTCTGCTGTTGCAGCGATTTTTTCTCCTTCTCGTTTGATTGCCTCCACAGTAGATCTGCGGTCATCCAGCAATCTTTGCAGAAGCTTGAGAAAAAAACATTAAATATTTTTAAGGCAAAAGAATAATTTAAAAATACAATGTAGAACATGCTTTAAGTACTTTTGGTATGTGACAAACATGTTATACGGTGCACACATGAAAGGATCTGAGAAGTGGAATTTTAAACTTACTTGGTTTAATAATTTACCACTACTGTGTCAGATACTCATGGTAGGGCTTTTCAGAATACACAAAACTAATATGGATAAGGCCACTAAACTCTTCATAATTAATTTTTAATATAAAACAATAGAGGGGAAGGTACTGTTTGGACTAACCCCACTGAATCATGGGAAGAAGAGAAATTTCCCCTCACTTTAATGAAGTAGGAATGACTCAAACATTCAACAATTATTTGCTCATTACAAATAAAAAGATTACTATGAATCATTACTATTTTCAAAACCCTTTCCCATAATCCATGACTGACAAGGAAGCTGAGACTCAGAGCAAACTCATAAGTTAGCAAGGCTAAAAGGAGCACCACTCGGCTCCTTCTCTAGCTAGAAGTAGATCCTAAACTCTTTAATGAGGAAGAAAATGAAAAAAGAGTCTTTCAGTATCATTACAAAGGAAGACAGTATGGAAAGCCCACTAAGCTGGCTAAATAAGACTAACATTCCAGGATTTAGCAGTAGGAGCAAAATTCAATTTAATTCTAATTAAACATCACAAGATGCCTGGAATGAAAAGGCTGATACAGAGAGCCAACACTCAGGATTACCTTGTTCTGCCCTCATCAGAGTCAACTGCTCCTGAACAACTGCTATGCGCAGGCACTGTGTTAACAGCAACCAGGAAGGCACAGGTGTACAACACAATGGAGGCTTCACTGCCTCCTGAATCTGATCCTCTCTGGTAGTTAAGAACTAAAGACTCGACAGATACCAAGAAGTAAAATGCTAGAAGAATATTCTGAGATCATGGCCTCCAAGGTGAGAGCTAAGAGGAATACATGTTTAAAAAGAAGATGCACACAGGGGCTGGGGATTTAGCTCAGTGGTTTTGCCGCTTGCTCTGCAAGCGCAAGGACCTGAATTCGATCCCCAGTACCAAAAAAAAAAAAAAAAAAGAAGGTGCACCAACTCTGCCGACACAAGTTGAGTTATTTTATAATCAAAGTAGAACAGATGGTTTAGCCAGCAAGGAAAACTAATTAGGTAAATTACCTCAGATAAACTTTAGTAGCAAAGCTTCTGGTAATTAAGAAGACAAACTCAACAAGTGGATTTTGTTGGCTAAGCATCATTAATTAACTCTGGGAGAATAAACTGAATTGTGAATGGTAGCAGTTATATATTCAAAAAAATGACACAAATGAAATGTGTTTCCAGTTATGTTTCCTTAATGCTTACTTCTAACTGTATTTCTAATGCGCTGAAGTTTTCAGATAAATTTTAGAGAAATAGTATGAAATGTATAAAAGTAAGGAGTAGGTTTTAAATTTTAAAAATAAGGCCAAGTATGGAAGTTTTAAAAACATTTTTAACTGACAAAAAATAATTCTGTATATTTTTGGAGTACAATGTGATACACACACACACACACACACACACACACACACACACACACGCATGTGTATGTTGTAGAATGATTACATCAAGCTACTTAAAATACCTAGCACCTCCCCTGCTTACCATTTTTTTTGTATTGAGAACATTCAAAATCTGTAGCAATTTTGAAATATATAATACACTATATTAACTTTGTTAAGTGAACTGATCCAGGAATAGAAAGTTTTTAATTTAAAAAGTTTTAAATGTAAAGAAATTAGATTTAACTAAAATTAATTAAAGTAATATACTCCTTTCCTTTTAAAGTCCTCAAGGGAAATCTTACCACTGTGCTGTGTGCTAAGCCCCTTCTGACATAGCAATGCAAGTCACAGCTGATAGGCTGCCAGTGAAAATGTCATCTAATTTGTCCTAACTGACCACTGTCATTAGATGCCCAAAACTGTATATAAGGATCGCAGATAGTTATCTCTATATTGACTGTGTTTTCCCAATTTGGACATTTTCAGCATTGTCAAAAGATACAATGGCACATTCCTAAGCATATATGGATTAAATATTTGCTTCTTGATTAACAGAGTGAAGTAGGAGAAACTGCTAATACTTAATCCATAAAAAGCTAGTTTCATGGGAATAGCCTAATGTATAAGTGAACAATATTTCTGTCCAAATGTCCAAGTGAAACCTTCCTTGAGTACCTTATTTAAAACCATACATAGATCCCCTCTTTTAGCACTTCCTGCCTGGCCATTCTTGCTCTGACTTCGGATTCCTATCGCTTGTCCCTGCTGTATTTATGTCTAACTTGCCATTTTACATATTCACCTAGTTTACTGTGTCTCTCCATATCCTGCCCTTCTCATTAAACTTCAAACTTAATGAGGAGCTTTTATTATTTTTGTTCAGTGATATAATCCCCAGCATCTAGAACAATGCCTACATTGCAGCAGATATTCATAAGTGTTGGTTTAATGACTAACAAAATAATCTGTAGCAGCAAGCCAGTTGACCAGGATAGCCTACTGATATAAATAAAGCAGTACATTTTTACTCTTTTTAAGAGTCAGTATGAAACACAAGACAACAGCATCACTAACTTACCTTTTGCTCTTGTATCTGGGCCTTCACTACTTTGAACTCAGCTGATGGGGGCTTCTGATTGGCCACTAGCTCCTCAGTGTCCACCATCCAGCTGAGCAGGGACTCCACGGCATCCTGGAACCTCCCACAGTGCAGCAGGGCCTCCTGCAGCTGGGCTGCTCGCTGAGCCACCTGTGAAGGAGCAGGTGCCTCAATTTATTTACTTACAATGAACTCTTGCCACTGGCTACCACTTTTTTTGCTTATTTTCTTATTCCATCACAAATTTTTTTACTTTTCACTTAAAATCTACCCAAAGCATTGATAATAGGAAGGATAGGAGTGAAAAGGGATCAAACCTTAGCAAGTAAGTCATGAAGATAAGGTTCCATCTTACACAGTCAATACAGAAACTAAATCTTTGAGAGTTGGAAATGCCCAATGCATCTGTGGTTAGCAAATATTTTAACATTACTGAAAAACTGTGTTTTAGTTATTTCATCATTATTGGGATTCATTTTTTAATTTCCTACTGATGAATATTAAGGGTAATGATAAAAGACTGGAATTTAAAGAAATTATTATAGCCAAGAGTAAAATTATATTTTGGTATGCAAAACAACTATAAAGCATTCAGTTAGATTCTACTAGCACCAAGTACTGAATCTCTTTTCAGCAAACCAGGGCCTTTGTCTTCCAGGGTCTTTCTAGTCTTTGGGTACTACATAGAGATATCACATTGCTGTTTTTCACAGATCTTCTCCTTTTAAACTGAAAAACATTGGCAAGATACTGTAAGCACTATGGAATAAACTTAACACCTGACACTGTTTCCCAATTTGCGTTTAAGGAACATTACAATGTGAGTCACTGTCAGAAAGAAAATTACCTTCTTATTGAGACCTTAAAAGATGATTGGTTTTAAGATCAGACAAATGTTCAAGATTTCAATGCATGGAAAACAACAAGAACAACCACTACGACGACTAAATGAGCACTGCTATCCTTTAGCAATCATCTGATCATTTATGTCATGTGCCACTGTGCATCAGCATTACCTCCCTAAGATAACAGAGCACTATTTCTAGGGTTTTCCCTTATGAAAGTTTAGGTGAAATAGTATATAAAGCTGATAGTCTATAGTGAGGGTGGAAAACCTTTGGTCTTGGGCTGACAGAGACATCACTTCTTTCACTTGCAGTGTAAAATCAGTTACCAACATTTGAGAATGGGAAGGTTTCACATAGAAAGGGAGATTTCCAGATTCTTTTGAAAGCAAGCAGAATATGTGGCAACAGTGCACCTGCATCCCTACATGTCAGTGGTTTGCTGGAGCTAAGAGGCTTCCACCCACTAGAGGAACCATCCTCTCTGCAACCGGCCCAGTGGTCACAGCTGCTGCAGTCACGTCTGCTGTGTCTGTAGTCATGTCTCTATCAAAACTGACACAATGACAGGGAGAGGCCCAGTTTCTCCCAGCTCCCTTCATTCATTTATGCTCCCTAACTACGATAGCTCTTGTGGGCATTTGTGTTTGGGCCATCCAGTTTATAGCAATATATACAGTAGACATATTTAGGGAAGTTTGGCTACTCTAAATCTGAAGAAAGGTCACAATAAATGCTAGTGAATAAAAATTAACAAAAATGATGAGGGGGATGAAAAATTACCTTCTTATTGAGAATTTTCCACCGTGCACTGACATCTTCCAGGTCATGCTCCAAACCCTGAGTGCTGGTGTTTTTAGCAGCACTGTGAATAAGCCCTTGACCCAACCAGTTTACATCTTGCTGTTTAACCTGCAAGGGTTCAATCTCTTCCTTCTGGAAAACCTGCAGTTGGAAGAGCCACAATTATATATTTTATTTTTTATTTATTTATTTATTTATTTATTTATTTATTTATTTGTGAGACAGTTTCACTATGTAGCTCAGGCTGGTTTTGAGCTTGTGATCCTCCT